GCCGTAAATACCGAGTAAAACGGATGTGCTCTTAACATGGTTTTAAGCAAGTGTAGTTGGTAGGGGGGGGCGCCTACTACTACTACTACTACTACTACTACTACTACTACTAACTACTAACTACTACTAACTACTACTACTACTACTACTACTACTACTACTACTACTACTGGCACTACTGCCACTGCCACCGCCACCGCCACTGCCGCCTGCCACCACCGCCGCCACGACGATGACTGCGACTAGTACCACCATTACGGTCACCATGAACACTATCACAATCATCGGCGCTATCGCCATCCCCGTCGAAGTCGTCATCGCTATCACCGCAAGGGCTCGATGATGTCTGATCATGGTTGCAATGGTTCAGGGAAGCATGTCGTATCAGCATTAGGGCGGGTAATTCTACGGTGATAAGGCTCACTGGTGCTGTTGTCGTCGTCGTTTCTGTAGCTGGTCCCGGCCTCGGGCCAGGTGACGGACACCTTTAGGATGGCCTACAACGACTTGATGCACTTTTTCATCGTCTTCGCATCCGTGTACTTCTGTATGACGGTGCGGCGCCTGCACAGCTTAGGATTTAGAGCATTTCGTTAAATTATTGTGGTCATTATTCAGGTTTCAGGATTAATAGCTGAGATTGAGGCAGACATCAGACGTCGGGCAAGTGGGGACCCTTTTGTCCTGCTTGAAGAACAAGACGTCGTGCCGGGGTTGTCCGGGACCAGGTTTTTTCAGATTCGTGTGTCGTTTCACCTTCTAAACTTGCAACTTAGCGCGGAGGGAAAAACGAGTTTACACGGAAGTTTAGGGTTTGGGCCTGAAGATTTCAGTGCTAAACACCGACCTTGGGTAAACCAGTCTTGAAAACTCCACTGCTGTGTCTGTCTGCTTTTGGTCATGGTGTCTTGAAGGCTTTGCTGTTGACATCTGTCAAGCTGTCAGATCAAGATCAGAGCCAAAATTTGCGCTTATACGACCTTTCACTTTGCAACTGCTACTGCACCGAACTCTAAGCGTTTGCCAGTCAAGACAAATTACGGTTTAGGCCTGCTTCAAGGCTAATCAGCGCGACAGCAAGCGGCAGATGGTTCCGCTTCCCATTTCAAAGGACCTCAAGGAATGCAAAGTGGCGACTGGCAGTGTCACTGCGCCAATACAACTGCCGCTGACGAACAAACTCGCCTCCGCTTCAGGTGTCTTGCTTTATATTTTCACTTTCCGGGAATAGCTGTGAGATCTTCAGCTCGCGCAGTACTTCGTTCCGGGTGGTCCTGATCTTCCCGATGAAGCCAGTTACCATTGGAACGAACCGCAGAGACTTCACCTCTTCTTCCGTGCACAAGAAAACATGTGGGTCATCAGCCACACCAAGCAGCGGTTGGTTCCGGTTGTAGCCTCGCAGCTGCCGATGAGGCTTCAGGAGATAAGAAACAAAGTTGCCTCTGCTAAAGGCATCGCTCTGTATATCTTCACTTTCCAGCGACAGTTGCTGGATGCTACGAATACTTCGGCGAGTACAACAAGAGCCCTTGCTTCAAGCGCTGGCAGGCGCCTCGGCACTTCCTGATGAAGTCCGACTCTGCCTCATCCGAGACAAAGACTGCAAGGGCGTGGGCACAAGCAACGATCTTGTGCATTTTACAGGCCCAGAAAAGAGCATGGAGAAGGCCCGTTGCGAGGTGGTGGACAAGTGGCGTGAGACTGCACCTGCATCCTCTTCCTCTTCCGCGCCGAGTGCGCCTGCTTCATCTTCCACGTCGCCCGCCAGCCTCCCGCCATTCCAAGGACAAAGCGGCGGGTATGCATTGGCTATCAGATGGAGGAAGGGCGAAATCCGTGCCCTTTCCGGACAAGACACAGCGAGGACTGCGTCGTCAAAGTGATCTACGAGGTCTTCAAGAGGGCTCTTCATGCCCCGAAGGGGGGACCACTTGCTAGACCTGAAAGGCCATATGGGGTCGGCCATGGCGTGGTATCTCGAGAATAGCACAGCCAGCAGCGATGCTTACGAGCAGACGCGCACTTTTGAGATGCTGCAGAACCACAAGTACAGCTGCACAAAAAGCAGTGGTCCACGAGACAGTCTCTTCGGAGACGGGCGGCCGCAAGACAAAGCACAGGGCCAGTGCCACAACAGCCCTTGCTTCGGGGCGGAAGTTTCCGCAGCTCTTCCTGTGAAGTCCGGCGCTAGACTATGTGATGCCACGAAAGCTCGCGAGTGCCCAACAGCTTCTTCAGATTCCTAAATCATGGAAGGTTTGTTGATGCAGAGTTTACTCTAAAGCGGGGCACACTATCGAGAGGCTTTATGGGGACGTTGTTTCTTATGATTTGAACTCGATGGGGTCGTGGGTGAAACTGTACCAGAATTATGAAACGGAGGCTAGAGGAATAGTATCACAAAGTACTCACGCTGATAAATGACACCAGCGAGTTGTAACAACTTAGGAACCCTGTTAACTTGCAGTATTTACCTCCCGGATGAGCGGGCCATGAAGCGCGCCGTCGAAAATCCCGCAGTTGCGAAGATCGCAGACAAAGTGGTGAAGACCACATTTCCGCCGGAACATGAGGAGCGGGGATTGGTTCAGGAGTATTTCTTTCCCTCTGCCGATGACAATGAGGTGAAATGCTGGTTCAGCGACCGCTGCCGGCAGATCTTGTACTTCCGCTCAACAGAATGGTTTCTGACCAGCGCTAAAACTCCGAGGGAGCCCATTGCGACCTCAAAGGACCTCAAAGAGTGGCAACTGGGGTCTGAGACACCGCTCCCCTGCACGTGCTGCGGACCAGACCTCAAGAGGTGAAGAACAGAGTCGCCTCTGGTGCAGGGGCCGTGGTGTACATCTTCACCTTCCCACAACAGCTGAAACACCCCTCAGGCTGCTACGAGTACCACAGCCTTCCTGTGAAGTCCGGCGCTGGACTATGGGTTACAAGAGACGGGTCCTGCCAGGACCTGTGCACCAGCAGAAATCTTATCCACTTCGAACGCCCAG